AGACAGGATGGGATTCCTAGGTACACGGAGACGGAACCCTCCAGAGTTTCCAAAATCCGCGTAGAAGGCTAAGAGCGCGGGGACATCATCAAGAGCTCAGAACACAGTTGGTTAGTACATCTGTCAAAGAAAGACAAACCACTAACCGCCTGTTGAAGTGGGAGATGCTTTTGAGGTTGTCTGTTTGGCAGTGACCTTGATGAGCCGGATAGACATGCTATGAACTCCGACTCATCAAAGCGGATGGTTTCTTGGTGAAACTACGATATGTGCTTGACTACAACGTATTAGCTATGGTACAGGGCTGTGTTTTCTACTGATTGACCCTTACTCAGATAATAATAACATCCCGGTCTTCTTCTTTCTAGCTAAACCGAACCTATCATATTTGATACCTTAAGGTAAAAATTAAAGCCATTGACGCATCTGGACAACCTCTTTGGAATGCTATAGGCACAGCTGATCAAAACCATTCGTTAGATCAGTAGCAGTGACTTGAAGCTCATTAAATGAATGAATGAGCTTACTCCACAACTATCCAAGTATCATAGGTGATTCCCAGTTGACCTATGATGTCAGTTACCGTGTTTCCACTCAGGCAGTGATGCATTGATGGGTGAGAGTGAGGAGATCTCTGAAAGCTGTTGCTGTGACATCCTGAGATTGATCATTTTCATGACGACAAGGATACCAGCTTCCAGCCCTCAGAGTATATACCGGTGTCGTTAAATATCAGAAAGAATTTTGAAAGGATTAAGATAAGTACTTGTATACGTCTTTCCAAAAAGATGACCAATAGCATGTCAGGACGTGAGGCTTTGTGTCAAGCGACTCCATCACACGTCAGAAACCTCTGTTATCGATGATTCTTGGGTATTGGGAGGCGCGCCCATGGTCAAATTGACCACAACGGTATCGATAAATATTAATGTTTTAGCCCTTTAGGGTGAGCGCCCATGGAGGAGTTAGCCGCAATGATCTAAACAAGTGCTTCTGTTTTCTCTTGGAGTAAGTCACAATTGTGCCGTTCACGATTCACACCGAACTGTAGTCAAGTACCAAAATGGAAGAGAGCGTCGTAATACATTGTACGCCACTTTTAATGAATTGTGTATTTAGTACAAGAAGTAACTATGACCATAACATTAATTTAAACATAACAACGGCGTGTGATGTATACGGTCTTAGACAATCTCCTCGTAGTTAAGGTCGATATGACGTCCTTCGGGGTGCGACGTATGAGCTAACGACGATAATAATAGCTCAGTCGGCTCCAAAAAGACGTGGAAGGACCACAGTAAGGTTCTATACACATGTCTCAAATATAACAGGGATCATCCGAGGACCAGAAGCTTTATAGAAGTCAAGAAACTCCAGCATCTGCCTAACGGCTTTAAGTCGGAAGGGCAATCCGCTCATAGTGTGGAGTAGCCTTGAAATCGATGATACTTGGGCACTGAGAGAAGATTCTTATTTTTCATCTTAGCAGCTACTTTTGCTTTGGCTTGGAGTAGGACATCAAGCTATGAAGATCGTTAGATCTGCGCGCCCAGTGTCCAGATATAGCAGCTGCCATGGGACATGATTGCTGGAACCTGTTTGATCAAAATGGTGGATGGTGTCCACAAGACCAAGGGTGGAGCTGGGCGAAAGGATCTTGGCGGGTACTCCTGCCTTGTGTTGAAGTCAACCATAATCGTGCCGTTCATAGTCTGGTATGCCAGTAGTCTAGGAGCAAATTCCGGTGCATATCTGTTCAACGCGAAGGGAGAGGGTATGTCAAGGCTAAAAGGCTGGTCGGTGTCGAGCGACTCCAGCACGTGATTTTAAGGATTACCCCTCTTATGGTACAAAGTATCCTGCGTATCGCTCAAGTATCGTCTTGAAGGATCTTGGCGAGTACTCCAGCCCAGCAGTCTACTTGGAAGTCTCCCTTTGACCTGCTTGGTAGGTTGACTGCCTACACTGCAATACTGTGGCCAACCTTCACATCGTACCAGTTTGTATACTACAAACAAATTGCAATAACTAGAGGTTGCCAGATAAATGTATCTAGAACCACAAGGTTGACCTTACAATCTGACCATGACCGTAACATTGGTATACACGATAAGAACGGTATAATATGGTGTCCAGGGTCTTAGACAATCGCCGCGCGCCCAAGTTCGATCTGAAGTTCGGGGTGCGGGCCGGCGTCGGCGAGTGCCTTCTCGGTCCGTAGCCATATCACAGTCACCGTCGGCGTTTCGCGCTCACCGAACGTCGCCCGCCGCGCTTGTTGCTGCCAACGCTCCGGGCTTACAATCGCAACCGGGAGTTCGTAGAGCCGTCGTAGACGTCGTCGTCGGGACGCCACGCGCCGTTCGGTTGCATGCGTCCCAAACCGGACACTTGCTGCTGCTGCTTCAGTTCGTCTGTGATATATTGTATTATATGCACCTTGCATCAACTACTTATGAGGTCTGAAAATTGTTCGATTGAAAAGTGTTTCTCCGTGATTAAAGAAATATGATATTCCTCATTATCGTCCTGGACAATAAATCAAGTCATAGCTGCATAGATAGCTTTAGTAACCTTTTGACTGTTTCGGAAGCATCCTAAAAGCACCAGAAGTTGAAAAATATAAAAAATTAGGACGACATTGACATTTTACTTATTTATTAAAATCTGAGTTCTGAGCTCTGAGATCTTTCAGAACTGGTTCAGATCATATAGATTATGACGCTTCTTTTTTCGCCATCCACAGACATTAAAGATACTTGAAACACTTATTGTTATTTGTGTTAAATTTGTTTTGTTACCACTGACATTGAACACATTCAAGTAATGAACATGCTTGAGCGCTTAAAGACATTGACACTTTGATAACGCATTTGATCTGTTATAAAATTTGGCACTGACATTCATTGCTACACTGCCTTAGTTTCCTGAATATGCACACCCCATACCGAGTTGTTTAGGTGTCTTGGATTCGACATTGTGTATTTCAACTTCCTTTGACCCCTGCAGCTGGCAATAGATTATCCGAAACGTAGTGATATATGAATATAAGAAATGTCTCTATTTGGGTTCTTCAATTATGATACTATGATTCCTTTAGTTAGCCGTCGGAAATATCATTGATATAATTCTATTCTGTTACTAACTTGCTAATACAGATAAAGCAAAACCCCAAAACAGATCCTTAAGGGTTAAACAGATCAAAAGGTCAGCATTTTACCCAGGATGGATGTAGAAAACATTTTCAGGGGTTCATTTGATGAATTTGAAATTACCCGCTCAAGAAAAGCAGAGGGGTGAGGGAGGGAGTTAGGATGCATGAGATGTGCGTCTCGAGGAGTTAAGGGGAGAGGGGAGATTATGCGATTCAAAATTGAAGTGTGAGAGGTCGTCTGCAAGTTCAAAGAAACTTGTTAAAACTCGGATATTTCTGGGCAGGGGGGTCTCGTGTCGTGACCCCCAGGCACCTCAGTATATACACAAACTATATCTAATACCACCAAAAAATTAATTCTTTTTTATATTATTTAAACTTGCACTAGATTGCTTAGTAACCATAGTAACAATTTTATCGGAGCATTGAGTTATCTTATCTTGTGATTCTTTCCACCATTTATCTTACACAGTTAAGAACGTTAACGAAGTGACATATTATATGCACAGACACACAAGTAAGAAATCCGGCTCATAAAATTACCTTATGTTAAATAAGCCGGTCATTAAGAAAACTTACAAGTGAAATAAGATCAAGACGTACTATAAAAATACTACAATGTTTTTATATTATGCAAAATGGTATGTAAAGAGTTAACCACTTTATAATATACCAGTGTTTTGATTATTAGGCACAGATATTACGAGCTAAATCTGTACAGCAAAATTAAAGGCCTATTCGAAAATGAAATCAATAAAATGTGCAATGTTCATTTTGTTCCAAACATTTTATTGCCGTATCGATTTCATTATAAAGTTTACCTCTACTTTATGGGAGGTATATATGACAACCAGCTATATGTATGATAAAACGGTATTTAGCATGCTACCTCTGGTCTTGAAAATTGTGTCATAAAAGCATAATAACAGCAAATGAAACCTTATTAAAGATCTCTCAGTGTGAACTTCCAAATATGAATTCAAGAGAATAAGTCAGTGGGATAATTGTTTTCTGATTGAATTTTAAATTTCGTAGCTTCAGTGTCAAAATTAAAGAGACATTTTTTGGGCTGTCGCAAATATTAGTTTTGGTTATGGTGCCAAAAATAATCATTTGGTGTTAAAAAAATATTGCTATCAAGGTACTGCTTCGCGCCGGGATAGCGACCAATCCTGAGACCGATACTTGAGACTGGTGACAGCACCGATACAGAAAATCCGTTACAGCCACAGAAATATTCAAAATGAAATTTAAAAATGTTTTGAGCCCTAACAAACAAATGGGTTAAAACTTGTATTGTTTTTTGTACATGTTTGAATTGAGATTTGAGTATTTCACAGTGACAGTAACAGTTCTGTATCAGCGTTGATTCGATCTATTGGTCGTGGTGACCTGTCGCTGTCACAGTACGACAAGGCATCTTTAACGAGACTAGTTGTCAAGAATTTAATACTTTATATTTTCTGGTATTACAATATCTACGATAATATCAGTTTCAATATATCGTCGATTTATGCAAAATAAACGCAAACTACAGTACCAGCAACCTGTTGATTTGTTTGTACAGTAAGATTCAAACTTTTCCTGTGTGTAATTCATATATAGTTGGTTTGCAGCTTGTAACGAGTGCAACATAAGTGGTGGAGAGCATTAGGGAGGACTAAGGCAGGCTTGTTAATTTATTTATGAGTCTTGATCAGGACTGTGAAGCGTCATTTATGTTACAACTTGTTTACGTTAAAACGCACAGGAAATAAAGATGGTTTCTCAAGATCATTTACAGAAAGCTTTCCTGATGATAATTCTCAGACCTCATATTATCTTCTCAAGCAGAAACCGCGCAGTCATGATGCTCGTACTTCTTGCGTGTTGGATACCCGCGTGTTTGGGCTACTCGTGGCCTAGCGATGAAACTACCACACGACCACCTTACAAGGACTTTCACAGCGATCCGTTGGTCGTGGAGACCACCAGTGGTCTAGTTCGCGGATACTCCAAGACCGTTCTCGGCCGAGAAGTGCACGTCTTTACTGGAATCCCTTTTGCCAAGCCTCCATTGCGCCAACTCAGATTCAAGCGACCCGTACCCATTGACCCATGGCATGGTATCCTAGATGCTACCAAGATGCCTAACTCCTGCTACCAAGAGCGTTACGAGTACTTTCCAGGATTTGAAGGCGAGGAGATGTGGAACCCAAACACTAACATTTCGGAAGACTGCTTGTATCTTAACATCTGGGTGCCTCAGAGGCTGCGTATAAGACATCATGCTGACAAGCCACCGATGGAGCGTCCGAAAGTGCCAGTGCTGATCTGGATCTATGGAGGCGGATACATGAGTGGTACTGCTACCCTAGATATCTACAATTCTGACATCATCGCAGCTACAAGCGACGTGATAGTTGCCTCTATGCAATACCGTGTGGGCTCTTTTGGATTTCTATACCTCAACAAGTACTTCCCACGTGGTAGTGAAGAAGCTCCCGGCAATATGGGAATGTGGGATCAGATCCTGGCTATCAAATGGATTAAAGAGAACGCGGCAGCGTTCGGAGGTGATCCAGATCTAATAACTCTATTCGGTGAATCAGCGGGAGGAGGTTCAGTTAGCATCCATCTGATCAGTCCTGTAACCAAAGGGCTGGCAAGAAGAGGCATCTTGCAATCTGGGACGATGAATGCCCCTTGGAGCTACATGACAGGAGAACGTGCAGAACAAATTGGGAGAATCCTAGTCCAAGACTGTGGTTGCAATGTTTCAGAACTGGATACTACTCCACAACGTGTCATGGATTGCATGAGGGGAGTTGATGCGAAGACAATCTCGTTACAACAATGGAATTCGTATTCTGGAATTCTGGGGTTCCCGTCTACACCCACGATTGACGGGATTCTTTTAACCAAACATCCGATGGATATGTTAGCTGAAGGAGATTATGAAGATATGGAGATCTTACTGGGAAGCAACCAGGACGAAGGTAAGTGTTTGCTATTCAATTTCAAGTCAGGACTAAAGTAAGATCATATAACGGGTTATATGTTCCAACAATCAGGAGGCGATCGAGCTACCGACCGCCTGCAAAGCATCTTTCGGTTTTGTTTCACAATGTCATTCTACATAGCTTCACAGCGAAGCGTCTGGTCTTTTTTAATTGAAGGATAAAGTTTTCACAGGGGTGCAACTTATATCTAGAAATTTGCAAGTATGCATTGTATGGCAAGATCCAAAGTTCTTATTTACCAAGAAATTGGTTCATTAAGATGCCTGATTCAAATTTTATTGTATAAGCAAGTCTTCTGTTTCAGTTCCGATAACCGGACCCCTTTCAATTGCCTAAATCAAATGTCCATTATTCTTTTGAAATCGCTTACCAAACGAAAGGCACTTACAGGGTCATAGTGAAATGATAGGTAGTATGGACCGACCTTTTCGTATCTGAACACAAAACAGTTCTAAATTCAGTTTCTACGGATATGCAATGCAATTCATCTAAGCACGCCAAGTATCACATACCTATATCAGAAAATTGAAACAATTTTTTTGAATTTCTGCACAATAAAGTTATCCAGGACTAACGCAAAATTTGGCCGTGCGGTTATAAAATCCAGGGCCTGATTGATTCTTTTGAATTTTTTGTTATTTATCAAAATAGATACCTTTCAAGCGGAATATTGGAATACCCAACTAAGTAAAAAAAACTTTTTAGTTCAACATCTTTATTTATAAAAATATCTTATTTTTAGAAATTTATGTGGCACAAAACACAAAACTTCAGGCGTTATCAACTTGATTTCATCAATACGAAATAAAATTTACGAAATATTGCTTAAAATTGAACCAAACATGTTTTGAGTACAACTTTTGCAACACACTGTAAGTTATACCCGATTTATTATATCTTGCGGAAAAAGAGCATTACATGACATAAATTAAAAGGAAACCTAATTTTATGCACCACAGCCACTTTTTTCGGTATTTTTTTATAACTAATACTACAAACTGATATTGGACAATAACATGAGTTCTGCTTATAAGGGAAACTCCATTTAAATATGAAATTCCACTAAATTCGACCTTCCAGACTAACTTGAAATTAAGTAAAAATCAACAAACACGTAATATGCAGGTTCGGACTTGACATTTAATTATATGATACATTCATATATATACATATATATATATATATATATATATATATATATATATATATATATATATATATATATATATAACTTGAGACGTGGTCATTGTCGTCTAGACCAGTTAGGTGAAAAATTAAAGCTTCCGCCTTTTGTTGGGTACTTCGACAAAATTTAAGCAAAGAGGACTCTTTATATTTTTTTAATTCTCTCTAGCTTTCAATGGACTTTGCCATCATCATCAGGAGCTGCAATTACAATGATAACAGTAGCAACAAAAGTGTAAAATGAATTTAAATTGACTCAACTTACAGTAGTATGTGAGGATGTTGCTAATTGTTGTTTACGTATAGGATGAGGGAAACGTCCAGTAACATGGTGAGAGCTGGATAGATGGCACAATGGTCAAAATTATATAAAATATGACAAGAACAAGTTAAAAACAGATTAAAAATTATTTAAAAAACATTAGAGCATTACATCGTGAAGCCACTTGATGATTGCACAAAATGGTGGTCATGGAATAATGAGTGAGATGAACCCTTTGACAGAAGGCCGAAGGTTGTCAATGTCTGTGTTGAAAGATGGAACGAATTGTGGGCGTGTGTCAATGTGCCAACGTTGCCAAATCACTTCAGATGATGTGATTTTCAGAATGTTATGTAAGAAATTGTTAAACCGACCAGAGGAAGTTGAATAAACTATATTTTAATTAATGGGAATTTAAATTAATAATTTTTAATAAATCGTGAGAAGAGAATTATTAGATTTTGAGTGGAATGAAATTTACTGGTGGAATCGGCCAAAACACAGATTCTATTTATGGTTGTGAAGAGTCGAAATTTGGGGAGATATGTAAGTTCTCCAATTTTTCGCAGTTTAGCAAATATGAGTAAATGACACTCATTTGTTTAACATCTGTCTTTTTGTTGATACAGTTGTTATTCATGAAAATGTGGGACATTTCCAGGAATAAACGTTTGGAAAGGTGTTTTTCTTTATCAAGAACTTTGATACTTGTGTAATTCATAGAATGCCCTGTTGTGTTAACATTGATACATTCATATATATACATATATATACTATGTGTGCATTATGTAACTGAATCTAACCTAGGATTTTGCTGAAAGCATGTGAAGGCAGCTATGTAAAACATTCTGAGACAAAACCTTTACATTAGGTTTTTCTCTTCATCATAATCGTAAATTAATTTGAAAAGTCATATTCAATACTGAAAAAACTAAGTAGGGTATATTACATGGATCCCTTCTTTTATTACAAGATGTTGCATTTAATTAAATACAAGGAAATAAAAAAAACTGAATCCCACCCCAAAATTTTAAACTTCCAAAACGCCTTTGGTTCAACTGTAACCCATGAAACTTTGAGTTTTGTGTCACATAAAATATTTGAATAAACAAAAATGTTTTACTGAAAAACCAAAAGAGGTGAAATCAAAATATTTTGCTAATTTATTAGTATCATTTTGTACACAAAAACAAAAAAATTGAACAGTCGTGCTCCTAGGTAACTGTGTTATACTACAAAATTTGATCAAAAACGGTTCAATAGTGCTTCAGATATGTGATATTGAATATCTGGCGTATTTAAATAAATCACCATACAAACTAAATTTATATGCAGATATAACAAAATCTTGGTCTAACTACCCACTATTTCACTATGTCTATTTAAGTACGGATTTTAATAAATTAAAAATTGATCTTGAAATTCCTGTTTGTACGCCTTCAAAACTTACTCCCTTTCTTTCATCCTTTATTTGGCACAGTGTTTTACTCTCTTTTAAATACGTTAAGATCATCATTAACTTCATAGGAAAGTGTGTATGAGGGCCCTCTGTGCCTAGAGACACAAAATGGATAAGATGACATCGTATTGCTTCAGTAGCAGGTTGATAGTCATAACGATTTTATTTTAAATACAACTACAACTCTTTTTGGATGTGTGTCCATTATTAATTTTCCTTTTAGCTGGCTAGTCAAGTACTTATAGCTTCTCCAGTTTCCATGCACAGTATTATCATTTACTTTATGACCCCAAAAGCTACAAAACAAACTTTAGGTTGTTATGTGCCTCTCGAATGCTTTCCTGTTAACTGCCTAAGTTGCTGAATATTTCAATCCAAAAAAGGTTTATAGCAGGTTATGTGTAAAGTTGAGAAAAGTTCGAGGTTATGGCCGCTGCGTTCGTAATGTACACCTGCTTAATATAATCATTGGGCCATATAAGTTGCAGACGTTTACTTTCAAGATCTTTCCAGTAGTCTTCAGTAAAATAGTAATACTGGAGGAGCAACTATCGAATACTGATGATAGTGTTTTATTAGAGATTCAGATTTCTCCACGGTAATCCAAAATACCAGTATAATGATGAAAATTTGGGATATGCTTCTAAATATAATTCAGTTAATTTTCCTTTACCAAACTGTATGCATGTATGTATGTGGACAAGACTAATTCTATTTCACAGGCTGTAGTCCTAACCGCATGACGAATTTTGACATATCAGGTGTTGCCAGGTTTATCTTCGCAGCACGATGGACACTGAGTACGTGACAGTTTTATAAAAACAAAATAGTGGATTTTAATTAAACTTGCAGAGCGCGTTCCAGGGCAAAATGTCTGTTTCGGTGGCTTAGGGTATAAAGGCCTATTCATACTCAACGGTGACGTGTGAATGCTGTGACCGGCATGTGATCCGCCCGGTGAAACTAAAAAGATTCATCCTCGAATTAGGATGAACTGATTCACACTAGACTGACACGTGGAGGTGGCGTGTTCTCAGTGCCCTCGACGACGCCGTGCCGTGAGCATCGCATTGTTTTGGAACGATATTTTTCGATTTTCACGGCCGCGCTTTTATGTAATTTCGTGAATATTTTGATATAATTGGTCAAAAACATGAATGATGAAAAACTAAATGAACTTGTACGCGGACATCCCGTGCTGTAGAACCTTTCAAATTCAAAATAAGTGGACTTCCGTTTTCTTCTCATTTCTTCTTCTTCATCTTTCGTAGGTCTCTGACTGTCGAACGCGGAGGTACCACCCGGCAGATCTCCTAGGCGGGGCCAGAATGCGTGCATATTGCATGTACGAGTACACGACGTGTTCCCTCGCCAGAGTCCGCGTGGCATCCCCCTTTCCTCTGTGTTCCCCCATATAGCACCACGGTGCCCCATGGGAGGCATTAGAGCTTCGTTGTAGTCGGGGTATACAAAAAAATCCAGAACGAATGCAATAATTGCAAGTTCATCCTCTAAAAATTTTGCCATTTCGACCTCACGTGAACACAACTGCACTGTCAGAGCACGGAGAAAAATACTGACCAGTGTGAATTGAAAACACTGTGAGCTCACGTCAGTGAGAATCACTGACACGTCACGGCTGAGTGTGAATAGACCTTAAACCAGCTAACTCGCTCCGCAGGAAAGTACCAGGTTCAGAAAATGGTCTTTGACCACCGGTCAATTTTAAAGAAAACTGACAGTTCATGTTATGCAGATCACATGTCCCAATGGGCGCTAGCCCAGAAATGATTTCTATTGGAGATACAGGGTGTTAAAGCTTGGCGCCTCAGCTCAGCCACTGTGGGTACCCCTGCCTGCACCATTTTACGAAAACTAACTCATCTTTAATGTATTCAGAGAACGATATACCTAACAAAAATTACGAGAAAACTTACAATATATACAGAGTGTCCCAACTAAAATGGAAAGTTGCTTAGTAGGAGGGCTATAAAGGTATTAGAAAACGGTCTGCACAACAAAATTGAGAATATAGTGTTGCACAACTCTGTGGCACAACAAATATTTCTCTCAATTATATTAGATACTTAGAGGAAAAGCAAATTGATATA